AACAGCTGATCTTATTGAGAAATCGTCATTATCTTCAATGTCATTCTCGGAATATTCAAACTCAGAATCCTATATGAAATAAGAATTTATAAATATGTTTATTTGCTTAAAAATCCTCAATAAAATTTAAAACTTTATTGAATTGAATAAATACGTTTAAATTTAATTTTTTACAACAAAGTATTACATAAAAAAGTTTTAACAAAATTATTCAACAAAACTCTATTTTTCAATTACAGTTTATAGCGTCACGGAGTCTATAGCATAATAATAATGATAATAATATATTTATAATAATATCAATGGAATTATTTTATTATAATTCTATTTATCATTAATATTATTAATAAATATTATACATTTATTTATAGTGTGACAGCCCCATATTAAACAAATAATTTTTTCTAATGTGAATAAAATATTTCACGTAGGGTCAGTTGGGGTAAATTGGGACAAAATCGCTATTTTTTACAAACTGCGTAAGTTTCTTTATTTAAAAGATAATATTTGCGGGTTTATTTTTTTTAAGTTGTTATTTATATTCCCAGGATTAATTTTATGCATCAGAAAAAAATTTAGATAAGCTTTAAACGCATGAAACTGACTGTCCCCATTTACCCTAAAATTTAGAAAATTTCATGAAATTTGGAGTAAATGGGAACAGCATAGTTTCTAAGAAAAAAGTAATATATATATATATATTACTGTATTAAGGTATGGGAAAACTTGAAGAAAATTTGTAGTTGATATATAATAGTTGAACTAATTGAATTTTTTTTATTTCAGTATTTTGTCTCACATTTCAAAAAAATAGACTTAATCATACAAAAATTTGTTCTTATTCCTTATAACTCCCATAACAGAAATTCACTTGAATGTTTGATTTTTGTTAATTTGGTTAATAATGTCAAGCTGTCTCCATGAAAAGTTCAAGTGAATTTCTGTTATGGGAGTATTCCCATAACATTTTCTTATTCATAAAGAATAAGAAAAAATTTGGTATGATTTTTAAGTCTGTTTTCTTTGAAATGGTGAGACAAAATACTAAAACAGACTGACTTTAATTTTCAAGTTTTTATGCATTGAGCGATAACTTTTTTATCTTGCTGTCAATTGTCAAGATAAAAGCTTGGCAATACTCAAAACCTCTTGCAGGTGATCTGAGGTTAAAATATTGACGTTAAACTTAATTTTAAAACTGTAAATTAAGCTCTAAAACCTCTTGTTCCCATTTATCCCTTGTCCCCATTTACCCCAACTGACCCTATAAGAAAATTCAACAAAATTTGTTCAGATATCCTGGGTTTAACATATTCATTGTATGAAAATTTTAAAACCTACTTCGTTTATGTCAGCCATATCGTCCTGTTCAATTATACTCATTTTTGAGAAATAGATTAATCTAGCAACGCTAGTTTTAAGCGATTGCACGAATGTGCGGTCTCACAAGACGATATGAATTATTGCTGAAATTATAAGTTTCAGGAATTGTTTTCGTCAAATTTGTTCATATATTATTGTACGCACACAGCGCACCGAAGTGGCATGAGCTTGATCTGGAATCCGTATATCCGTTTTAATTTCCAATCCTGAAAGTTGTGTATAAATAAAATTATTTTTATAAGCATTCATAAAAAAGAAATAATTTGTTTATTAATTTTATTATACTTATAAAATTACTTTTAAATAAAAATACTAAAAAATCCCGACCAGAGTGACCATCCTGATGATATTTTATGTAAGTCTACCAATTTTCAGAAAGATTCATTCATTATTTTAAGAGTAAATCGTCAGAAAAATTTTGGTTATGGGTTATGTAACTACTGATGTAATTTTCCATCTACATCCATCTGCAAATATTTAAAATCCTTTGGAAAAATATCTCTTAAAATTTCAGAATATTAGAATAGATTTCAAAGTAGTGTTAAAATTTTAAAAATACATTATAAATATAATACAAATACAATAAATACAAATAAATTAATTAACTGTAGAATTTTTTAGCTAATATTAATATATTGTTATACCTAATAATAACTATTAGCTGTAATAAATTTGTGAAACATAAAACAATAAGTGATATTGATATTACAATAAAGACGTAATAGAAAAGTAAACTTAAAGATTACTATACTTTTTTTATAAAATAATATTCTTAAAATTATAAGTAATTAAATCACAAATTAAATGAATAAATTCTTTTCTTATTACATTTATATTTATAAATTATGATAAATTGTTGGTTATAAATGCAAAATTGACTAAATAAATTAACGAGATTCTCTATAACGAAATGTCAATACAATTCGTAAAACCATTGAATGAAAATAATACAAATATTAGGTGAAGACTAAAAAAAAAGAAATAGGAAAATGAAAGAATATATGGATTATTGTATGTAATATTTATTTTCTAATATACGTACCTTTTTAATATGATTTCCCATGAACTTGCCGTAGAAAAAGATATAACGTACAGATTTCAATTTGACAGTTTATTGATTATTATATTTATAAAAATCCTGTAATTTATGTTTGTCAAAAATAAAAGAATGTTAAATAAAAAATTTTCTATCTTTAGAAAGAACTGAAATTAGGTACATATAAAAATAAATACCTATAAGAAAAATTGTATTTCCTACATTTTAAAATAATTTTAGTTTATCATTTTTTTAGAACAAAATTTTAATTAAATATTTTCAAACATTGTAATCAGATTCTTTAAAAAATTCAATTATTTTCAAATTTTTCAAAATTAAAAATTCAGCAATTGACAAAAATTTAATTTGAAAACAATACTTGATGTAATTGTCAAAAATAAATTTTTAAAAATGTTTTCGATAAATTATAAACATTTCCTCTTGTGCAGTTTCATTTAAAAAAAATTTAAGAAATAACTTTTAATTAATTTTTAGCTAAAATATTTTATTTACTTTCCAGGTGACAAATACATTGATTAATATTCTAATTTTTGAGTCCGGACAATAGAAATTTCATTATTGTTTTCAATCGTTTTTAATATATTTTTTCTAGAAGAGTTGTCTTCTTATCGAATTTTTTCACCCGTGACATTTCTCAATTTTAAGTCTACATTAATTTTCAAAAATAGTATTCTATGAAAATAATCTATTTTAAAATTTATTTATTTATTTGAAATTTAAATAAAGTCTGCCTTTCTATAAAAATATAGTTTATTTCTATTTCACTATCTTTTGTTTGGTAGTCAAAGCAACTAAGTCTTGTTGTTGAGCAAATTTTATCGTTGGTTAAGTCGTTGGTTAATAATATAATAAAATGGAATTGTATTTATTGGAAAGTAATGATTGTTTTACTATAATTGAGAAAGACTCAATAGTGATTCATGAAGGAGAAGAAGTAAATTTATCAGTGGATTCTACAATAAACTATCAATGGTCTGAAAAGGGAAGTATTAAAGAATATAGTGGAAAAATATTGGGAATATCTTGTAAGTTGAAAATAGTTATTAAAAAGAAAACTTGTTTTTTAGCCATTTAATGTTTTTTAATTTATGTTTTTAAGCTGATGAAGCTGTCTTAATTAAAATACAAAAACAAAAATTAAAAGAATCCAAAAATAAAAATCATCCGAAAGCTGGAAAATCAACCATCAACTGTAGGAAAAAACAAAATAAAGATGGAAATGTAAAAAAGGTTGGATATAAATTTTCAAATTAAAATAATTCTTATATTATTATATTATATTTTTATAATGTATTATATTCTTTTTTTATTATTATTAATATATTATTATTATTTAATTCGACAAAATTTTACTTTTTTAAATTTGAAAAAAAATAAAAAAAAGAAAATAATTTAAAAATTTTTTTTTCAGAAACAAAATAAAGTTTTTAAAAGAAAAGCGACCATTGTAAATGCGAGAAAGATATTTGAACGAATAAACTCTGATAATTCCAAAAACGCATCTACAATATCTAAATTAAATAATATTAATGTTGCTTTGCGTTTAGCAAATAATTTAATTCCCGTATTGGAACAACTGAAAGAGGTAAATAAAAATATCAATAATGTGTCAATTTTTTTTAGACAATATTGAGAATTTAAAACTGTAATATAATATAAGAAATTGAAAAATAATTAATTCATTAATGATTTTGTTAATAAAACTTGAAATCTCCAAAAACTAAAAATTTAAACTTCTGTCACAATTTTTATTATTTTTCATTGCTGATTTTTATACATTTTTTCATGATTCTGAATAATCAATCGTATTGATTTTGAAAAAATTAAATTTTTGAAAAAAAATTGTTAAAAATTAATTTTTTTATTGTTCATAGTGAAATATCAATTCAGGATCTTAAAACTTTTTTTTTAAATTGTTACCCCTAAACCAAACTAAATATGTTGGGTTTAAATATTATCAATTATTCCTTAACAATTCAACTTCTACAATTTTTATTATTTTTTATCGGTAATTTTTTGTAGACTTTTTTCATGACTCTGTACAATCAATCGTATGGATTTTTAAAAATTTTAATATTTAAAAAAATAAAATTTCTAAAATAATCAAAAAAATTTTTTTTTAATTTTGATAATTCACAATATTTTTACATCCCAAATAATGACAGAAAAAAATTAACACCCCTTAACAATATTAATTTGGATGAGTTGAAAATTAATAGTTAACATGTTTCGCTGTGACAACTAAATATTAGCTATCGTAGCTAACAATTTGTTGTACATGTAATAGTAGACACATTTTTTCCGCGTAATATTTTTCCATTATTAATTTTATTTTTCTATAATATTTATAATTAAATTTGTTTTCAGTCGTTGGAAGCTGAGATTGAACCAATCTCTCTCGGAGCGGCTTTTCCTGAAGTTCCTTCTTCTTCAACATTTCATCCTACTAGTACAATGGAGAGTGCTTCTCGGAATTTTGAGCCAGATTTTGATGATACGGCCACAGTACCTACTTCCCCTCCTCATCCAACTTCCGAAATAGATAACAGTCAAACTGTTTCGAATTTGGAACATATTCTTCCTAACATAGTGCCTACTTCCCCTCCTCATCCACCTCCCGAAATAGATAACGGTCAAACTACTTCATCGAATTTGGAACATGTCGAAAATTTATTAAGAGATACAGATGGAGCAGAATCTAATTTAAGTAATCAAGAAGAAAGAGCGAGTGATATTTTTAATTTTACAAAAGAAAATGCAGGAAAAAAGGTAATTACGTCAAAAGCCAAAAAAACCTTATTCAGGAAAAATAAATATAAATTTATTTTTCAAAATAATTACTTGGTATTTTTTTATATTCTCCGAATATTGGAGTTTAATAATTTAAAAACTAATTTAAATATTATTTAGGCAGTCGAGCTGTACAAGGGCAGCGATTTGTACATCGAAAATCATGCCTTCAAAGAGGCAAAAAAAGTTCCAATTCGCAATCAACCTTAGCGAGGAAAATTTTAGTTGCTATAATTAAAGAAGATGTTCTCTTGTCAACGCACTTGAAGGAAGAAAAATCAATTACAAAAAAGGATGCTATCAATAAAATATTAAGTATGTCAATATATTTATTGACATACATATAGAAATTATAATTGAGAGGCTGATAGTAAAAATGGTTTAAAATAACATTGGGAGCAAAAGTGGGATAAGTGACTGGGGAGCAAAAACGTGTTAAAATGATTCGTGTAATTTATTGATAAATTCATTATATTATCGATTAAAAAATATTAATTATAATAAAATATGCATTTTTTGCTATTGTTAATATTTTTTAATCGATAATATAATGAATTTATCAATAAATTATACGAATCATTTTAACTCCGTTTTTGCTCCCAAGTCACTTATCCCACTTTTGCTTCCAATGTTATTTTTAACTATTTTTACTATCAGCCCCTCAAATATTCTAATTTTTATTTTCAGCATTTTTTTTATTTTCTTTTTTATTTGACAAAATTTAAATTTATTCGAATAATCATTAAGCAAAATTATAATTTTGCAACATCATTACTTAACATAATTATTTATTTGTATAATCATTATTTTATAGACTTTTTTAAAAAAATTCTGTAAAAAGGTGATTATGCCAAATAAAAATTATATTTATTAAGTAGTAATTCTGGAAAAAAAGTGTTTACTTATTATCAGTTTAAATAAAAAAATTTAATTTAATTTAAATTAATTTTAAAAATTGACCAAAAAAATAATGCCACAATACATTTTGTAAATTTTCAATCCTAATTAATTCTATTTCGAAATGGTGAAGCTGAAAAGTTCCTATTCCAAAAGTGAAATTGGTTTATTATATTTTTTATTCCATATTTATTATATTTTTTCAAGGCCATAAAATAAAAAACTCTGCTTTTCTGCATTATCAACATATGACAATGTGAAATTATTAATATTTAATTCCATTTTTGGAATTCATTTCAACTTTTTTAAATCCCATTTATATCCTTTTCTGTTTGATTTGCAATTAATCTGAAAAGTGAGAATTGCACAAAAAACATGAAAAATAAAATTTCTGTGAGGTGAATAGTCCATATTGAAAAAAATAACTCAGCTAAAAATAATAATTCTATTAAATGAATATATAACACTACACTGTCTGCACACTTTTATTTTAAAGTAGAAATAAATGGTTAATAAGAATGAATATAATTAACTGAATTAAATTTATGATATTACAGAATTCGCTCGCTCTTTTGCCAAACAATCCAAATGGCCAATTATTAATGATCAGTTAGTGAGACACAGCATCCGTAGCAAGATCCGAGAATTGCAGAAGAAATCTGCAAAAGTTGCTGCATAAAAGTTCATGTTTTTTTTTCTTTTAAATATTTCAATATAATTTGTTTCTTTAATTACAAATTAATGTTCTACGGAAATATTAATTGTTTCTATAGTATAAATAAAATCGTATTTTTTAAAAATATTTAATGTCATCAATTTTTCTTTCAATAAACTGTCAAAGGAAAAAAGCAATTACTTAAATAATTCCTAAAGAAAAAAGGGTTTTTTTACATTGCCCACATAGCACGACTTCTTGTAGTGAGGTTACTGTAAGGATATCTGTAGGGTTTGTAAAGTTACCGTGTAAGCCTACAGTAAACTTGAGGTCATCTTAAAACTTCCGCCATTATAGTAAGCTTACACAGTAAAGCTAAGGTAAGCTTACATAGTAAGGTCGTGGTAAGTTTACATGGTAAGGTTGTGGTAAGCTTACACGGTAACACTTAAACTAACTTAAGCGTGAATCTCTCATTAGCACTTCATATTTTTTAAATTACTTTTTCATTTCACGCTTTAAAAATATTTTACAATCGCATTAAAAATATCAAAATAATTAAAGACATTCAAATAAATATTTATTTTGAGAATCAGAGCTTAACTTCGATGAAGAAATATCTAGCAATTAACTGAACTTAAATTTGGCAGTTCAAAAAATTAAATTCAGTTACTTTAACAGTCTGACGTTAACTTCCGTAAAAAGTTATCGAGAAATGTTCGATTTAGTACGTGTTAACTTCATACGTGTTTATTTTGACATTTTTAGGTTAACTTCCGAAAAGAAGTTATTGAGATATGACACGGAGGTCGATTTAGTACTTACTAACTTCATATGTATTTATTTTGACATTTTTAGGTTAACTTCCGCAAAGAATAAGTTATTGAGATACGACACGGATGTTGATTTAGAACTTATTAACTTCATATGAATTTATTTTGACATTTTTAGGTTAACTTCCGAAAAGAAGTTATTGAGATACGACACGGAGGTCGATTTAGTACTTCTTAACTTCATATGTATTTATTTTGACATTTTTAGGTTAACTTCCGAAAAGAATAAGTTATTGAGATACGACACGCAGGTCGATTTAGTACTTATTAACTTCATATGTATTTATTTTGACATTTTTAGGTTAATTTCCGAAAAGAATAAGTTATTGAGATACGACACGGAGGTCGATTTAGTACTCATTAACTTCATATGTATTTATTTTGACATTTTTAGGTTAACTTCCGAAAAGAAGTTATTGAGATACGACACGGAGGTCGATTTAGTACTTCTTAACTTCATATGTATTTATTTTGACATTTTTAGGTTAACTTCCGAAAAGAAGTTATTGAGATATGACACGGAGGTCGATTTAGTACTTACTAACTTCATATGTATTTATTTTGACATTTTTAGGTTAACTTCCGCAAAGAATAAGTTATTGAGATACGACACGGATGTTGATTTAGAACTTATTAACTTCATATGAATTTATTTTGACATTTTTAGGTTAACTTCCGAAAAGAAGTTATTGAGATACGACACGGAGGTCGATTTAGTACTTCTTAACTTGATATGTATTTATTTTGACATTTTTAGGTTAACTTCCGAAAAGAATAAGTTATTGAGATACGACACGCAGGTCGATTTAGTACTTATTAACTTCATATGTATTTATTTTGACATTTTTAGGTTAATTTCCGAAAAGAATAAGTTATTGAGATACGACACGGAGGTCGATTTAGTACTCATTAACTTCATATGTATTTATTTTGACATTTTTAGGTTAACTTCCGAAAAGAAGTTATTGAGATACGACACGGAGGTCGATTTAGTACTTCTTAACTTCATATGTATTTATTTTGACATTTTTAGGTTAACTTCCGAAAAGAAGTTATTGAGATACGACACGGAGGTCGATTTAGTACTTATTAACTTCATATATATTTTTTTTGACATTTTTAGGTTAACTTCCGAAAAGAATAAGTTATTGAGATACGACACGGATGTTGATTAAGAACTTATTAACTTCATATGAATTTATTTTGACATTTTTAGGTTAACTTCCGTAAAGAAGTTATCGAGATATGACACGGAGGTCGATTTAGTACTTCTTAACTTCATATGTATTTATTTTGACATTTTTAGGTTAACTTCCGAAAAGAATAAGTTATTGAGATACGACACGCAGGTCGATTTAGTACTTATTAACTTCATATGTATTTATTTTGACATTTTTAGGTTAACTTCCGAAAAGAATAAGTTATTGAGATACGAAACGGATGTTGATTTAGTACTTATTAACTTCATATGTATTTATTTTGACATTTTTAGGTTAACTTCCGAAAAGAAGTTATTGAGATACGACACGGAGGTCGATTTAGTACTTATTAACTTCATATGTATTTATTTTGACATTTTTAGGTTAACTTCCGAAAAGAATAAGTTATTGAGATACGACACGCAGGTCGATTTAGTACTTATTAACTTCATATGTATTTATTTTGACATTTTTAGGTTAACTTCCGAAAAGAATAAGTTATTGAGATACGACACGCAGGTCGATTTAGTACTTATTAACTTCATATGTATTTATTTTGACATTTTTAGGTTAACTTCCGAAAAGAATAAGTTATTGAGATACGAAACGGATGTTGATTTAGAACTTATTAACTTCATATGAATTTATTTTGACATTTTTAGGTTAACTTCCGAAAAGAAGTTATTGAGATACGACACGGAGGTCGATTTAGTACTTCTTAACTTCATATGTATTTATTTTGACATTTTTAGGTTAACTTCCGCAAAGAATAAGTTATTGAGATACGACACGGATGTTGATTTAGAACTTATTAACTTCATATGAATTTATTTTGACATTTTTAGGTTAACTTCCGAAAAGAAGTTATTGAGATACGACACGGAGGTCGATTTAGTACTTCTTAACTTCATATGTATTTATTTTGACATTTTTAGGTTAACTTCCGAAAAGAATAAGTTATTGAGATACGACACGCAGGTCGATTTAGTACTTATTAACTTCATATGTATTTATTTTGACATTTTTAGGTTAACTTCCGAAAAGAATAAGTTATTGAGATACGACACGGAGGTCGATTTAGTACTTATTAACTTCATATGTATTTATTTTGACATTTTTAGGTTAACTTCCGAAAAGAAGTTATTGAGATACGACACGGAGGTCGATTTAGTACTTCTTAACTTCATATGTATTTATTTTGACATTTTTAGGTTAACTTCCGCAAAGAATAAGTTATTGAGATACGAAACGGATGTTGATTTAGAACTTATTAACTTCATATGAATTTATTTTGACATTTTTAGGTTAACTTCCGAAAAGAAGTTATTGAGATACGACACGGAGGTCGATTTAGTACTTCTTAACTTCATATGTATTTATTTTGACATTTTTAGGTTAACTTCCGCAAAGAATAAGTTATTGAGATACGACACGGATGTTGATTTAGAACTTATTAACTTCATATGAATTTATTTTGACATTTTTAGGTTAACTTCCGAAAAGAAGTTATTGAGATACGACACGGAGGTCGATTTAGTACTTCTTAACTTCATATGTATTTATTTTGACATTTTTAGGTTAACTTCCGAAAAGAATAAGTTATTGAGATACGACACGCAGGTCGATTTAGTACTTATTAACTTCATATGTATTTATTTTGACATTTTTAGGTTAACTTCCGAAAAGAATAAGTTATTGAGATACGACACGGAGGTCGATTTAGTACTTATTAACTTCATATGTATTTATTTTGACATTTTTAGGTTAACTTCCGAAAAGAAGTTATTGAGATACGACACGGAGGTCGATTTAGTACTTCTTAACTTCATATGTATTTATTTTGACATTTTTAGGTTAACTTCCGCAAAGAATAAGTTATTGAGATACGAAACGGATGTTGATTTAGAACTTATTAACTTCATATGAATTTATTTTGACATTTTTAGGTTAACTTCCGAAAAGAAGTTATTGAGATACGACACGGAGGTCGATTTAGTACTTCTTAACTTCATATGTATTTATTTTGACATTTTTAGGTTAACTTCCGCAAAGAATAAGTTATTGAGATACGACACGGATGTTGATTTAGAACTTATTAACTTCATATGAATTTATTTTGACATTTTTAGGTTAACTTCCGAAAAGAAGTTATTGAGATACGACACGGAGGTCGATTTAGTACTTCTTAACTTCATATGTATTTATTTTGACATTTTTAGGTTAACTTCCGAAAAGAATAAGTTATTGAGATACGACACGCAGGTCGATTTAGTACTTATTAACTTCATATGTATTTATTTTGACATTTTTAGGTTAACTTCCGAAAAGAAGTTATTGAGATACGACACGGAGGTCGATTTAGTACTTATTAACTTCATATGTATTTATTTTGACATTTTTAGGTTAACTTCCGAAAAGAATAAGTTATTGAGATACGACACGCAGGTCGATTTAGTACTTTTTAACTTCATAGGTATTTATGTTGACAGTTTGAGGTTAACTTCCGTAAAGAAGTTATCGAGATATGACACGGATCTCGATTTAGTTTTTGTTAACTTCATAGGTATTGATTTTGACAGTTTTAGGGTAACTTCCGTAATGAAGTTATCAAAAAATGACGTGAACTTTAAATTATTACTTGTAAACTGCAAAGACTAAATTTTTAACCTTGTAAAAATTCGCGGGAAACTCGCGCGATATTCGCGCGAGTATACTTGCGCGAGATTCGCGTTAATCTATTCACGCGAATATTTCCACCTGGGTTTCTTCAATTTGTTTAGCAGTTTTAGTTTTATTTGACAACGAATTTTAAATATAACCTTCTGCCACAGAATCTGACTTCCATCCACCGTGCCTTTTCAAGGTCGTGATGTTAGCTCCTGCATCTGCCAACAAAGTTGCAGACGTTCGCCTGAAGCAATGTCCCGTGTACAATTCCACGTTATCCAAATTTAAATATTCAGCGACACTTTGCGGTATTTTCG